CGCCTGGGTGGCTCAGTCAGTTAAGTGTCCGACTTCGGCTCAGGTCATGATCTCACAGTTTGTGGGTTCGAGCCCCGCATCAGGCTCCGCGCTGACAAACAGCTCAGAGCCTGGAGTCTGCTGCGGATTCTGTGTCTCCCTCTCTCTCCGCCCCTCCCCCACTCATGTTCTGTCTCTATCAAAAAATGAGTAAACGTTAGAAAAGTTTTTCAAAATAAAGGACAAGGAAGGAGCTGCCTTGGAGGGACACATCCTCACCCTTCTCCTTTGGCCTTGGCTGCAGCAGAGCCTTCCCTGGACTTCTGGGCAATGGTGGAGGGTGTCAGCTGGCCCTGGGGCGCCCCAGGCACCCTGCACCCCAGGTCAGCTGCACTCGCTGCCTCCACGTGAGGCACAGGGCCACCTGCACACCTTTCCTCCACTCCGCCTCCTTCCCGGAATCATCCAGCTGCGGTGCTGGCCCCTCCCCCAGTGCCCAGCCCCTCAGCACCCCCTCTGTTCCCTCCCTGCAGCCCTCACCCTGGGAGGACTCCTCCACCCCTCACCCTCTTCACTTGCCTCCAGAAAAACCATCCTCTCTCACCTCTGCCCTGGACCCCAGCTCGCTACTCCCACACGACTTCCCCCCTCGTTTTGCCTCAACCTTCCTTGCCCACTGAGCGCTGGTTTCAGCTCAGCAGGGCCCTGTAACCCCATGGCCATTCCCGCATTTCTGATCTCCGTGGATGTCCTCACCATGGCCCTGTTCGAGCTCTGAGTGTCGGAGATGGGCTGCCGTGCCCAAGGTCACTCACCTGCCCGGGCCTGGCCCACGTCCTCGAGGGGGCTAGGCTTCCCCAGCTCACCACTGTAGCTCCCGCTGCTGCCTGGATCCTACCTACCCCTCACCCCTGGGATGACTCTCACTGACGGGCTGACATCCAGCCGAGCCCGAGTGGATGCGTTACACGCATTGGTGTCCCCTTCTCAGCCATCAGGGCAGGTGCTGTGCCCCCTTTTACAGCAGCCCTCAGTGCACAGGACTGTGGATTGTGCCACCGTCCTGCTCCTGACCCTGGCAGACCTCTGCACCCGCCGTCAACCAGGCCCCGGGCAGCACACAGAGCGTGAACCCCGGCCACGGGCAGTGCGCGGCCTTGGCGGCCAGCCGTTCCCGCCGTCCGTGCCGCAGAGCAGGCCACTGTGTGTAAGCAGTGCAGGGCAGGGGCCTCGCCTCCGCCTGCGGATCAGGGCCTTCCACGTGGTGCCCAGCCCCAGTTCCAGGCCCCTCTACCTGTGGGCAGCCCTCCCAGGCTCTTCCCGCCCCTCCTCGGCCTCCCACCCACCCATTCAGCTTTTAGCCCCCGACTCAGAGTGGGCCGACGGGCCGTCTTCCGTACCGATGACTGCGTCTGCAGCAACGACACCGGCACGCAAAGCGGCAGCTTGGAGATTGAAGCCCGTGCAGACGCGTGCGTTTAGGTCCGTCACCAGACACCGGCTCGAGGACGGGTGTGTGCAGACCTGCTCCCACCATCGTGTGCAGACCTGTGCCCGCGTGGGGCCGAGCGATGATGCCCGTGTGCTCCCACGGGGAGGATGGCTGGGATGCTCGCCCGGGTGTGCTGGCAGGGACTGTGGAGTCTCACGTCTTTGTTGAGGGCGAGAGGGTGGGCGTGTGTCCTGGGAAGACGGGGAGTGAGCTGCCCCCCGAACCGGTCCCACACTGTGCCGTGCTCCGCTGCTCTCCTCCGCCTCCCCGAGGTGGCCCCGGGCCACTGGAGCCACCCCTGAGGCCCGGCCCTGCTCTGGCCGGCATCTGACATCACCTCTGCTTTGCCACACAGAGAGAGCAGGGTCGCGAAGTGGAAGTGCCACGCGTGCTCCACGCTGACCTGGTTTACGTGGCGAAGGTTTTCCATTTCTTCTTTAACAGCTTTATCGAGACGTGATTCACAGGCCCCACAACCACCTGCTCGCAGTAGACAATTGAACGAGTTTTAGTATATTCATAGACACGTGCCGGCATCACCAGGCAATTTTAGAACATTTTCATCACCTCATAAAGAAACCCGTGCCCTTAGCTCTCACCCCCAATCTCCCCGCCAACCTCCTGCCCCAGGGAGCCACTGTCCGCTTTCTGTCCGTGGATCTCACCGTTCTGGACATGTTGTGTGAACGGAATCACACGATGTGTGGCCTGTCACGTAACGTGATATGTCCAGGGTGCCCCTGTCTTGCACCCGCGTCAGTACTGTGCTCCATTTTATGCCGGAACAACATTCCGTTGTGCGGGGGACCCCGTTTTGCTTAGGACGTTTGTGTTGTTTCCACTTTCTGGCTGCTGTGAGCGCCCACGCACAAGCCCGGTGTGGAGGGTGTGTCCAGTTGTCTTGGGCGACACCTGGGAGTAACTGGGGGCCACGTGGCACCTCCGTTAACCTCGAGAGGAACCACCTCACCGTGGGCCCGAGGACACGCCATTTCCACAGAGGACACGCCATTTCACAGGCCCACCGGCCACGCCGGACACTCCCGTGCCCCCCCAAGCTCGTTCCCGCCTGACTTCGTGATTCCGGCACGTGCGGTGGTGCCTACACCGCGGGGTTGCATTTCTGTGATGACCAACGATGTCAAGCATGGTTTCGGGTGCTGGGTGCCTCCTTGCGTGCCTTGCCGACGCGTCTGCTCAGATCCTTGGCCCTTCTGCGGCGCAAAAGTTCTCCTGCACTGTGGACGCGAGTCCCGTATCAAATACACGATTTGCTGAGATTTTCCCCGCTCTGTGCCTTGTCTTTTCACTGTCCTTTGAAGCACAGTTTTCGATTTTGATGTAAAATCCAATGTATTTCCTTTACTTTCTGCTGGTCCTGCATTACACGATGCCCTCCGAACGCCTTGGGTCTCAATGTCTGACTTTGTGCCCCTGTGGCTGCGGGGGGCAGATAGGCACAGCCAGACTCTCCAGAAAGCCCCGCAAGGTTATTGGTGTTGAGGTTCTCCACTGTAAGAAACGTGACTGGGACTCACTGCGCCCCAAAGAGCCTGGAGCCATGGCGGCGGGTGGGGGGGGGGGGGGGGGGGGGGGGGGATGCTGACCTGAGGTGGCCAGTGGCCGGGACACTCACCCACCGGGACATTTGGGGCCTTTTCTGCCAGATGCCTCTGGATGTCGTCTGTGGGTGCAGCTCCCAGCAGCCCCACCCACGCCCAGCAGCTCTTGCTGGAGGCCTCCCAGAACCGGCCTGTGTGCAGGGCAGGAAGACAGGGCAGTGGGGTCGGCCAGCAGAAGACAGTCATCTGGACTGACTGGGACAATGGCCATGACCATCACAGAGTCCAAATTCCCCCAGGACACAGGCATCGCCACGCCCCACCTGCCTCAGGTCTGGGGTGCACTTGCTGCTTGAGGCCAGGAAGGGGGTGCCAGGATGCTGGCTTGGAAATGTCGTATCCACGTGTCCTCGGCCCCAGGCCTCTTCTCAGAGGACATCCGTCTCACTCCTCGCTGGAATGGACCGGGGGTCTTCGGGGTCTCGGGGGACCCGTGGGCCCCAACACTTTGGCTTCCGGAGGCCCCTTCTTCCATAAAAATACGGAAATTACATCTTATAATGGGGCCAGCCCTGGTCCTGATGTCAGGCCTTCCTGGCCTCCCCGCCAAAGGGCTGGGTCCCGGCCAACACAGCGGGCCGGGCAGCTGTGTGCACGGCACCCTGTGAGGACGAGGCCCGCGGCTCTGACCCAGCCGCTGGGCCCCACAGGCCATCAGTCCCTTCAGGGGAAGCAGTTTCTAGCTGAGTTCTGCCCACCGTGTGTCTCGGCGGGGCCGGGAGCTGGGTGCTATCCCCGGCCCGCCCGCCAGTCCTACAGGGTGCCCCAAGGTGGCAGCATGACTCCCGGCCAGGCTGAGGCTCCTGGGAGAGGCCACCTGCCCGGCTGGCCCTGGCTCCCCCGCCGGCGAGAGGGCACAGACGGGGGACGGACAGGCCCTTTGTCTGCTCCAAATGGTTAACCGTTGCTGTAGTTGCTCAAGGTGAGGGAGATGGCGCCCCGATGCCCGGCATGCGCACAGAGTGAGGGACGCGTAGACGGTGCCCCGACGCCCGGCCCCTCTGCGGTCCCAGCTCACAGGGTGACCCCGAGACGCAGTGGCCCCAACACCCTGGTGCTTGCCAGACTTCCTGTCTCTGGCCGCCCTTCCTGGTGAGGCAGAGCCTACCCGGGATCCTTCTAGAATGTGGACCACCATCCCCAGGGCCCCTCACAGCTGCTGACCTGAACTTTCTTGAAGACTCAGACCTGGAGCCCATCGTGACCCTCTGCAGCTGAATGTGGCCTCCTCCCCTCTGTCGTTCCTGTTGGCGGGCGTGAGCTCGGTGGCGGCCCAGGACCCTGCACTCCCGCACCCGGCGGCCTTGCCTTGTCGCTCGCCTGATTCGCGGGCATCATGTCTGCACCGGTGCTGCTTCTGCAACGGGACCACCGTGAGCTTGCCGTCTGCTTTCCCCGCGAGCCTCTGGGCGGGAGATGCTTGCAGGCCCCCCTCCCGTGATACCGACCGCCGTGTCCTCTCCGAGGCCCGTTTGTGGGTTAGCCCTCCTCCCACTGTGTCTGCAGGGTGGACACTCACGGGGGCCTTCGGGGAGGTCTCCTCTCCTGAGATGGGCTCTGAGTGTCCTCGTCCCCAGAGACGCCCGGCTCAAGGAGGGGCACTTGTCACCTCCCGCCCACCGGCGCCCGGGAGGAAAGGACAACAGAGCGCCCGGACACACAGAGGCCACCACCGGCCCAGGCTCACCGCCGCCCCCACCTCGCCCAGCCTGGCCCCGGCCGGCCCCACATCGTGCGGGCCCCACGGTGGCTTTGGGAGCGGGAGGCTGAGCCCACGCTTCCCTCTGGGTCTTGGAGCCGCCGGGCGAGTCTCACCTCTTGATGAAACCCGGTCTCATCACTTTCAACGGGAAGGGCTGTGTTTTTGTTCTTACCCTGCGGGTTTCCAAGTGCTTCTCACATCAGTGCTCCGGGGCCCCGAGGCGGGCAGGGCAGGGCAGGGCGGCTGGACGGTCCGCCCCACGGTGCCAGTTTCCCCGGCGCGGCCTCGGGACAGGGTGGGGCCCCTTTGTGCGAACAGGGCACCGCACCTTCGCCTCCCAGCGAATCGTGCCCCGCTGTGCCTCCCCTTGACCCTGCGCCAGGGAGCCGAGCCCTGGGCCCGGGCGCTGGCGGGCTGAGGTCCACTGGGCCTCCTTGGCACTCACGGAGCCTTTGGAGGCAAAGTTCAAATGTCCCACTGGAGCACGGCCGCCCGGAGCGGTGGGCGTGTCCTGCCTCTGGTTGTCAGGACTGCGGCGGCCACCGTCATTCCGTCATTAGCCACCACCCTCGCTGAGGGGATGCGAAATGAGGGTCCACGGCGGGATGGGGCGTCCACCCGAGGACCGTAACCACACACTGGAAACGTTGCACAGAAAAGCAGATGTGGGACGGGGCGGGGACCCTCCCTCAGGTGGGCCGGCCTTGCTCTGTGTGTGCAGACCCTGACTCGTGCCCCGGTGTCCAGACCCCTGGGTCGACGTGGGACGCCTCTCATGTCTCTGCCTGTTGACAAAAACGAGAGACAAGGTGGGGAAACACATAGCCCCTGAGCCTTTGGGGCACGCGGCCGGGAGCTGCCCTCCGTTGTCTGCCCCCTGTGAGCTGCATCTCTGCTCTCACTTACC